CCCCAAAACCCCAAAACCCCAAAACCCCAAAACCCCTCTTCCCTGCATCACCATTGAAGAAATAATTATTATTGAACTCTGTTTTTCGCAATTACATATAATTTCCGTATTCTTCTTCGTCAATCAAGCCTTCTTGTACCATTCTCATATATTCTTCTTGGTCTATCATTTGATTGGGGTCCATCATCTGATTAGGATCTCCCATTTGATTAGGATCCATCATCTGGTTAGGATCCATCATCTGGTTAGGATCCATCATCTGGTTAGGATCCATCATCTGGTTTGGATCCATCATCTGATCAGGGTCCATTTCTCCATTCCAAATTCTTTGAGCAAGATCATTCTGATCAAGCCATTGATCATCCTCTCCGAATTCTCCGTTCTCAAGAGCTGCTAGAGCTTCAGGGTCTTGTGCGTAGTAATCATAGAGAGCTTCTTCATCCAGAGCTTCAGCTTGGGCTTCATATTCCTCCATCAAGCCTATAAGTACACCTCATTATGCATCTCAAACTTCTTGGTCTTGATCTCTTGCTTCCAGATCTCATCATGCAATTGCACCAGATCAAGAGTAGAGTTAACTAGTTTTCGAATGTTTGGATTCTTATCGTTCAGCAACTCCAAAATAACATTAACAATTTGTGTCTGCTCAAGCATAATCTCTCTAGTGACTCTGTAGTATAGCAGTCTATGGTAAGTATACAGAATTTGTTGGACCATTTCATCATCTTCTTGCTTAGCTCCCAGCAGCTCATGGAGCATTCCAATAATGTAAGATCCTGCAATTGCTTCTGCACACTTTTCTGACCTACACATAGTTCCGATCAGCATGATAGTTTCGAGGACGAGGTCATCTTCAGAGTAGTCACTCACAAGGTTGTTATGTATAAAGTCTAAGAAGTCTCCCTGGGAAAGGACAGTATCCCATTTTTCAATATTGATGTAAACCAGTGTTCCTATCAATTCTATTTGAAGATCAGTATTGTCTCCACATTGTTTGGTTAGTTCGATTATCTTATCCATATATTTCTCATATATATCGATGTTCGTGACTGGGCCGAATTGAGCAATGTTTCTCACAACCCTGAACAATAGCACATCATTACATTTAAAAGCTCTCTCGATGAGAGCTTCTAGTTGATCATCCTGAGAGATCAGAGCAGCATTCGTTTTATTTGTTGTCAAGTTTATAGCCAAAGCTATTAATTCTTTTCCAATGATGGCATCTGGGAAGTGGATCACGAGCTGGTACACTAATGGGATGCATGAGGTATAGGCAAACGTAGCTTTAATCTTATCATCACTTGACAGATGATACAAAATTCGTAACAGAATACTTCTATATTGTGCCACTTTTAACAGCTCAACTAGCTTTGGAATCATTCCTATAGCATTAACTCTTTCCCTAATCTCATTATCAAAGCTCAGGTTGAACAACAGCCTGAGAGCTGTTTGTGTCAAGAGAGCGTTCTGGCATGGAATGAATCGATTCAGCTTCTTCATTATATCAAGTTCCAACATATCGTCTTTATTCGATCCGAAGACAGACAATTTCTTCAAAAAGCTAAGAACAATGTACAACAAATCTGGGTTGTTTCTCTCAAGCATAGACACAAGCAGAGGAACGATTCGCCTCTTCTTCATCTTCCTCTCAATTTTCAAATCTTCTGCAAGATTTAGGAGAATATGGAAAGTGACAAATAAGACCTTCTCCTGCTTCTTAATAGTCACGCTTAGCCTCTTCTCCTCCTTCCTAAAGTTGTTCTGGAGTTCCTTCAGATCAGTGTCAGCACTGGGGGTTTGCTGAGTCTGCTTCACCAGCTGAGCTGTTTTAGTGTACTCGTTAACTCTGGCCTTATATCTTTTAATCTCATACTCAATTATTTTCACTCAGGTGTCTCCGATCTGATTCTCAATAAGCAGTGGGTGGAATTCAGTGAAATGCGAATACGCGTAGAACACATTGAGCAAGTATAGAGACAAGTCTAAGCTCTTCTTGTAGTCATCTCTTAAAATTCTGGAAACTGCAGGTAGCAAAGACTCATGCTCAATCATCTCCTCCATGTTCTCTGCTGAGAAGCAGAGGTAGAGAATACTTATACAGCCTTTGAGCTTCAAATCCATGTTTTCGGAATATAAGTGCTCGATGTAGGTATCGATTTCAGTGATTTGAACTGAACTAAACTGGAAATTCTTCAGGTGAGACATTTTCCTTTTAAAATTTAGAAATCTAAATTCAAAATTATTATTTATTAAGGGGTTTTGGGGTTTTGGGGTTTTGGGGTTTTGGGG